CCTGGGGACATCCCTGGGGACATCCAGACACCCCCAGGGACATCCTGGGAACTCTTGGGGACACCCCTGGGACACCTGGGGACACCCCATGGGACATTCTGGGGACACCTGGGGACATCTCCGGACACCTGGGGACATTCCCGGACACCTCTGGGGACACCCCTGGGACACCCCCATGGACACCCCTGGGGACACGCAGGGACAGCTCCCGGTGGCCCCGTGGTGACGGCAGCGAGGACAAGGACAGGGGGTGGCACCTGCTGTGACAACAGGGACAAGGACACGGAGGGGTCCCTGTGGCCCGTGTGGTGACACCGGAGAGGAGGGAGAGGAAGAGGATGTCACCTGGGGCCAGGACAGCGAGGACAAGGACAGGTGGCACTGGTGGCACTGAAGAGGACAAGGACAGGTGGCACTGGTGATGACAAGGACAGCGAGGACAAGGACAGGTCCCCAGGACATGGCAGCCACAAGGACAGGTGGCACTGGTGGCACTGAAGAGGACAAGGACAGGTGGCACTGGTGGCACTGAAGAGGACAAGGACTGGTGGCACTGGTGGTGACAAGGCGAGGCCCGTGTGGCACCAGGTGACATCGAGGACAGCGCTGACGCGGTCCCTGTGACACCGGCGAGGCCGAGGACGGCTCTGGTGGCACCTGAGGTGACACCGGCGGTGACCGGGATGAGGACGGTGACACCTGGACACGTTTTGTCCCCAAAGTGCCACCACCAGGATGATCTGTGCCACCCTGTCCCCAAGGGTGACACCACGGCCACCAACACAGCCCCAGGGGACAGCTCTGGGTGACCCTGTGACCCCGCAGGTGACCCTGTGACCCCGTGGGTGACCCCGTGACCCTGCAGGTGACACTGTGACCCCATGGGTGACACTGTGACCCCATGGGTGACACTGTGACCCCGTGGGTGACACTGTGACCCTGTGGGTGACACTGTGACCCCATGGGTGACACTGTGACCCTGCAGGTGACCCTGTGACCCCGCAGGTGACACTGTGACCCCGTGGGTGACACTGTGACCCCGTGGGTGACACTGTGACCCTGTGGGTGACACTGTGACCCCATGGGTGACACTGTGACCTCGCAGGTGACACTGTGACCCCATGGGTGACACTGTGACCCTGTGGGTGACACTGTGACCCCATGGGTGACACTGTGACCCTGCAGGTGACACTGTGACCCCGTGGGTGACCCCCACATCGCTGTGGGTGACACCACAACCCCATGGGTGACCCCACGTCCCCATGGGTGGCACTGTGACCCCAAGAGTGGCACTGTGACCTTGTGGGTGACCCTGTGACCCCAGGGGTGACCCCGTGAGTGACCCCACCGCCACGGAGGCCACGCCCGGTCCCCAAGGGTGACACTGTGACCGCACAGGTGACCCTGTGACCCCATGGGTGGCACTGTGACCGCACAGGTGACCTCACAGGTGACCCCACCGCCACGGAGGCCACGCCCGGTCCCCGAGGGTGACACTGTGACCCCCCCCAGCCCCCCGAGGACACCACGGCGTCCCCTCCCCCCGGCCTCGGGGGGGGTGACACCACACCGGCTCTTGGGGACACTCCTGTCCCCTCCCCCCCCCCCCCCCCCC